CCACTGCCGTCAGATCGGAGCATTCCTAATCTGCGAAAAACATGGGGAAAAACTAATTCTACTTAACATTGAAACAAAAGCGGTACGTCCTCTTTAATAACAGCTCCAGTCCAACTGCTGAAATCCTGTTCTCCTTCCCCCTGTAGATCCAGACAGACCTCGCACCCTCTGTCACCAGGCTGGATGTGGACCGATAATGAGAGCCTTTTCTTTCCCCCTGCCTTCAGAAGCTTGTCTAACGAGTAGTGATAAAAGTGATTGGGACATGGGGTGGACGTCGGTAGGATTTTTCTTAAAATTATTTCTTATGAGAAACTTGAGTAGGTGTATTCTACAGTGGGATTGGAGACATCAAGCAGAAGCGTGCTATGTACATTACATGCTGCGATTCAAGGACACGACTCTCAAACAGTCAGAAGCCTCGTTAAAAACTAAATGGTCCTATTAAAAAAAAGATATGGCTCATTTTGCTGATTTTAGACTTTGAAGAAGCCAATAGGCTGCAGAAATGGAAACCGAAACTTTTAGAACAATCGCTTCAGTCGGGATTCTGTTGGAGGGTATTTTTGGACCATTCTTCTTTGCAAATCATCTCCAGTTCAATCAGGTTGGATGGGGTCCGAGCATGGACAGCCCGTTTTCAACTGCAGAATTAATCTCCTCCTAATGATATTCCTGATAGAAATTGTAGACCTATTCCTAGATTATGGAAAATCGTGGAAAGTAATGACAATGAGACTTTGTTAAATAATGTGTTAGAAAATGTAAAATAAAATAGAAATTATATGGAGAAACCATTATGAAGGGTAAATAAAAATGTGTACTGCCTGTCACTCCCTCTGCTTCCACCAGGGGGAGGAGTTTAATTGGTTTTGGGGTTTTTTTTCCAAATTTGAAAATGACCGGCAGCAAACACGTGTTGCAATGCAACTAAGTAACAGCTAATAAGTTGTTGATTGGCGAGGGAAAATCGTAAGAGTTACTTGAGTGGAATCCATGTGTCCATCAATTTTAACCAGAAATGCAATAATAATAAACACATAGGAGCCATTGTCCATAAACGTTAAAACATGTCCTATACGGCGACAACTTAAACAGTGTTTGCACGAGTTCAGCGATTTTCAAAACTCCACGTTTACTTTTAATGGACTCGATTACGGAGAAAACTTTAGGAGTTCAATTAACATCATCAATATTGCATGTGGCTGGTGCTCGAATGCAGCGTGCGCGTCTCGTAACCTGAAAAGTCACAGCACAATGAGGCGGCACAACAGCAAATGAGGCAGAAAATGACTTTCCGTACTTTTAGATCCATAAGCTCTATATTCATTATGACAACTTTAACAATATGTCTTTGCTGCGGCACATCTGGTCTCACTCAGCCCGTGGACACGCACACACACACACGGCTGCGGACGCACACACACTGTACTTTTAATTATTGCTACAATCATATTAATTAAGTCTGCTTTAGAGGAAAGCATTTTGGAACTATGTGTATTGCCTTTTTGAGTTACTGTATCTTGCTAATAGACAGACAGAGTGATGTTAGCAAACTTTTGACTTTGTGGGAAGTAATGTATTACCTATATATCTATATTACTATTGCTAAGGCGGCACAGTGGGGCAGTGGTTAGCCTTCACAGCAAGAAGGTTCTGGGTCTTTCTGTGTAGAATGTGCATGTTCTCCCCATGTCTGCGTAAGTTTCACTCAATCAATATTGTGGCATTGAGCCAATGGGAATCCTTTTGACTCATTAAGTTAATCTACTAAAACAACATCAACCTTTCTAAATGATTCTTTTACACAATTTAGTTTCTAAAATTCAATTCAATGTATTTTTTGTACAGCCCTAAATCTCTGTCTTGGAGCACATTACATAATTGTCCATTTGTAGACAACAGATCAGAGAATCAAACGCTATGCTAGAAATGCTAGAATACATTTTTTAGGAATTTCCATAAACTTCCATAAATGTCACTATACAAGACAAAATGCAAATACTTTTGGGCTCACTTCCCAAGAACGATTGAAACGATTATTCCAGGTATCACCCGAGGCCAGTTTGTGGTAAAACAGGCAAATTTTGATGAACAGTTGAGCCATTATCACGTCTGACCGGTGAAGTCCTTGATTCCAGAGTAATTGTGTGGAGTAGGGTTTAATCCCGAGACACGGGATTCCCGGGAAATCTGATCAAAACTATTTCCCGATTCCCGGGAAATGTTATGACGGGAACCGGGAAATTAAAGTTAAAAAAAAAATCCAGTGCGCTCCAATTATAGAGCACGTTTATTGTTGTTCAAAGTTGAAACATATTTCATTTACAATCAACATGTCTACAGCTGAGAGGATGGCTCATAAATTGTGTTTTTGACAACAAATATGGGTCTTAATCGCGCTAAACCACGACTTGTAATGAGGCCAGCCTCAGGGTACGGGGCACATGAGAGCCCAGAATTTGGCTACGTCCAATTCTATCAGAAAGCTCCTTTCTTTTTTTTCCATCTGCTAAGGGCAGCAACAGGTTTGGCTAACATACATATAACACATACAACACAGCTTTTGTTGGATTATATATTTGAGTGATATCATACATTACTTGGGCTAAAAACAACAACTACAAACAACAGCTATTTCCCGGGAATTCCCGGGAACGGCGTCGTCTTTTCCCGGGATTTGATATGGCTCATTTTCGGGAAAAATATTAAACCCTAGTGTGGAGCTCATGGAGGAGGCAGCAGTGAGAGATGAAGCCTGAGTCCCACACACAGCTGCCTTCTTCACTTCCTCTGTGTGAAAATCCCCAGACTCCAGGATCCTCACCTCACATTTTATCGCCCTCTCGCACAGTTCAAGGATTCCCCGCTCTGTCCCAGTCCTAATGAGCGGCACACTGGAAGACTTTCCTTTTTCCCCACAGTTTTTCTCAAGTGGAAGAAGAGGGGGGAATAAAGCCAAGAGCACTCACTGGGGAGGAGTGCTGATGATGGTTATAAAGCAGACGTGCTCAGCTTACAGCTCTCAGACGGAGCCCTTTTTTACAGACAGGCGAATAATCACACCATCAATGACACTGACAATTATAAGGACTATTCATTAGGGTTGGCAATTGGCTAAAATGTGATGATTAGATAGTATTGCAGTATTTGAGCGACAATCCAATATTATTGCGATTCTTAACCTATCGCGATACAGCAAGTGTTTTGTTTCGACACTGCGATATACTGCGATGCATGTCCCTCATTTTTTTCAAAGACATGACAACAAATGTAGGGAAATAAGACTCAACTGAAAAGTCACATGTATTATGGTTTGCACATTAACTGAAGTGCAAAAACTTTATCTTCGAACATGCAGGACACAGGACCTTGTTACAGACAAGACTTTCTGAACAGACGACCTCTCACATGAATGGGGAGCTCCCAGCACATCTTTTGGGCGGCACGGTGGCTGAGTGGATAGCACTCTCGCCTCTCAGCAAGAAGGTCCTGGGTTCGAATCCCGGTTGGACCAGGGCCTTTCTGAGTGGAGTTTGCATGTTCTCCCCGTGTCTGCGTAGGTTTCCTCCGGGTGCTCCGGTTTCCCCTACCACTAAAAATATGTACAATAGGTCTGGCATGTGCCTCCTGTACTGGCACCCCCAACCCCAAAAATAACAATTGTAAACCGCTTTGAGACTCCGATGTGCAGTGAAAAGGCGGTATATAAATAAAGATTACTTACTACTACTACTACTACTTTGCAATTATTCAAATACAAAAAGCCACAAAAAGCAGATAAAATAGAGTAACAAAAGGATAGAGTAAAATGACCAGAGTAAACTCCCAAAAAACAATCATAAATCGCAACACTTTACTGTGTCGATTGAATTGCGATCGTAAACAGAATTGATTTTTCTCCCACCCACAACTATTAATACAACCTCAACCTAGACATACTCCACACAATTGGCCTTCAATATAACATATAAATATTCTAATTTAGATTCAAAGCCAAAATCCACGTTGCCAGTTCCAAGTACAAGGCACCCTCTGCAAAAGTATTTCAGCAACATTCAGAAAGCATATGTAAATTCTTTGTGATGCCCAGTTGCCCACACTGTACAATGCGCTCATAGTCCCCGGCTGCCAACTGTCCCTCTCCGGGTGCCAGTCCTCGAGGATTAGCCGACGCTGGTAACGCCACTTTGCTGCTGGAAGAGCTCCATTTTGCTAAAGTAGTGCTTCAGTTAAGATCAGCTTAGTGTTGGTGTCTTTTTCTATAGTGTGCCATCATATTGCATCTGTATGGGACCGGATCTCATTGCACAATATCCACTCAGAGGCAGAGACAGGGACAGTTCAAGTTCAAACTCTGGAACTGAAACTTGTTTTCAAGTTCTGAATCTAGTGTTTATGCAGCAGCCTTTGGGTCAGTTTTTAAAAGATCATCAAGAATCCTCAGTGTATTTAAATATTTATGTGTTTGTTTATGTGATAGGAACAATGCACATGAATTTAGTTAAGAATAAATCAAAATCCTAAAGGCAGGAAAATACATAAGTGACAACGTACAAGACAGGAAGCACAAGAAAATGTGAAGAGTCTAGTGGTCACATGACTCCCATCACTCTCTGTGTAACGTATGAGCAGAGGAAGACTGTTCCAGATGTTAGTGGCCTTCACACAGAGAGTGTTCTGTCCAATTGTTGTGGAATTCATCCATTTAGTCACATGTAAAAACACATCAGACTAAAATATCTGCTGCAGCGCGTCAAGTTGTAAACATCTTTTATTGGAGGCAAAGTGTATTGCCCACAGACTGTTGACGATCTCGCAGCCAAAGCCAAGCCAGACTGAAGCTCTACACAACAGTACTTTGGCCAAAACGAATGACTAAAACAAAACAGACGACAGAAGACATTGCACAGAGTTTGTGTAGGCGTTCCGTCCATGCAACCGCTTTAGATTTTCTAGCAAAATATTCTTCAAGGGTGCGACCTCCTGTCACCGCTCTGCTATTTGTGCGAGCGCCGGGGCTCAGTCTGCTTTGCTAATGAAAGTTTGCTGTTTGGAGGTCGAGCCGCTGCTCTTGTGCAGACTCTGCAGTCAGTCTCACTTTCCCTGTGGAAAAACAGCCCACGCTTCAGCTCAAATGCTCCCATCGTCCTGCTCACTGCTCTGGGCAGAGTCCGCTGGGCGAGCACATCACGCTGCGCTCTGCAAAAGCTGCTTGTGCTCAGCAGGCCACGCTCCACGCTCGCCAAATGGGCTGTGTGCAGAGCAGACTGTGGACCAAACTGCTGAGACAGGACTTCATCTGGCTGAGAGCAAAGCAAAAGTTACAACTTAAGAAACATCAGACAAATCCACGAGAGGCTGAGACTCTCAGAGTCTCTATCCTTCACTATTACATCATGACGGACGTAACTTTCAAACTTGCACAAGAGCAATCACTTTTCTTAATGAAGATTAAGATAAAAACTAAAGAAAAAACCTGGAGGAAAATGTTACTTTTTCGGGGGAATTTCTAGAAATTCCATTGGTTTGAATGAGATCAGTCAACATGATGGCTCTGGTAGTTCTAGTAGTTTCATAACTCTAAGTAAGTAAGTGATCTCTATTTATATACAGTAGCGCCTTTCACAGACCAGAGTCACAAAGCACTTTACAATTGCGGGCATTTATCTCCCGCTCCACACAGAGAGTGGGGTTGCCAGTATTCTGCGAGTCCTAGTGTTAAAGGTACCACTATTTCTCCTTCAACGTGAGAATAACAAAACTTATTTTTACATTCTCCGAGGAGCTTAGCTTAGGCTGGCCCTTTCAGTTTACAGCGACAGAACCAAAGTTTTCCATCCAAATAGGAGTTTAAACGGTGTGAAAGCGGGTAATGGAATACAAATGCATGTCTCGGTGTCCTCTGTGCGTACGGCTCACTGACAGGATTTAGTCAAGGCTCTCTCTCTAAAATCATCCCTGTTCCCCTCCACACATAACGCGCATGAAACCCTGACACGGATCCATCTGTCAGTCAGCTTTCCTCCCCACTCTGTTCCTGAAGCTTCATGTAAATCCAGTGGCCCCCAGTGGTCGCGGCTTCACCTCCGCTCTGACAGCATGCTTAATTCGCTCTCTGCTTGTTTTTGCCCCACTTAGACAAATGTGTGGGTGTGCGGAGCATTGCATTCTATAGGAACTGTGCATCTCTGCTAATGGTGCGACAATAAATAAATGGAGAGGTAGAAGTGACTTAGTTTGACTGTATGTAGCGTTTGTTGCACAGAATATTTTACCGGGATCAGGCCGTGCAATCTTCAAATGTATGCAGTAGAGCTTTCCTCCTGTTCCTTTTGTTGTCTTTGTTTGCCTCCGACATGAAAAGGTACATGTTTTCATTCTCATATTTGATGTTATTTTTCCCCGTGTGTATTTTGATGTTGGAATGATGCTGTATTCTTATCAAGTTAGAGATTCTATACTTAATTATTTATTGTGCTGAGTGGGGTCAGAGATTTTGTACTTGTTTCTTGCTTCTTCATTGTGCTAAGGTTGGAGATTTTGGATCTGCTTCATAGTTGTAAAAGCTGTATCTAAAAGCTGGAGAGCGTAACTTTTTCATTTCATATTTAAAAATGTTCTTCCCAACAGAAAGCGTAGTTCATGTAACATTCTCTGAACAAATCCGTCCACAACATCCTGTCTTTATCTTATCAGAAAACGTTTTATTCTTTTCAAACTGAGAGCTGATTGGTCGAGGCAATCTAATAAAAAATACAACAAAAAAATACACACGTGTGAAATCGAGTCACATAAAACTGTTTTGAGGGCGAGGAACTAGTTAAATGGATTTTATTAACAACAAGGTTTCAAAGTTAGGTACTCCAGCTTTAATCTAAAGGACAAGAACTCCAAGGAAGACATTTTTTATTTCCCCATTGGCAGATTTTGTTTGGGTTAAAACAAGGAAAAAATCTGTATGCAGTGTGTGTGTGTGTGTGTGTGTGTGTGCGTGTGTGTGTGTGTGCGTGTGCGTGTGTGGCGTGCATGTGTGTGTGTGTGGCATATGTATTGTGTGGGTGCATCTGTGTGAATGCGTGTGTGTGTCTGTGTGTGTGTGTGTGTGTGTGTCACAGGGGAAAAATGGGAAATGGAGCAGGGGGTAGCTTAAAGATAATACCAATCAAACCCGCATGAATCAATTTAAAATAAAATAAAAACATTTAAAAGTGAGTGTGTAAAAGAGGGGCTGGTGCTATGAGACTTGGGTGGCATCTTTGACTGCCACCCCCCTGACCCAGAAATGGATTAAAGGGTAGAAAATGGATGGATGGATGGGTGGGTGTGTAAAAGAGGAGGGGAAAGTCACAAGAACATGGTCAAAAACTGTGAAAAGTCCATTTTAAAATCACTGATTACTTCAGTCCGAACATCATTAACATTTCACCTTGGGAGTACTTATCTCCTATCCACTCTGCGCTTTTGCAGAAAACCGTGAAACTTGCACTGACCCGCATTCATCCAACAAAGATCCACAAAGAAAACAAATAAATGTGAATCTAACTTGAGACCAATGCCCAGAGAGTATTTTAGAGACGAGAAAGTCTAAGTCTCACACTTGGGTCAGCTTTTAGCAAAACAGAGACTCATTCCTCTAAGCGGTTCTATTTGAATCCTGACAAGTGCATTAATAAAACAGGGAAAACAAAACATTTTCCAACACAGCCTCTTCTTGTGATAAACAGCCTCATGTTGAGAGGAATGTAGGCCAAACGCTGCACACACTTAATTCAAATTCACCCCAAACCCAAACTCATATTGACTCGGGAGCGTTTTTTTACCACCTGCTTCCTTAGCGTGAGAAATTATGAATGAATGAATTATCAATTTTCTGTAAACTTTCGAGCATAGAAACAACAGCGGGGCCATCGTCTGTAAGCACTTTACTCTCAGTTAAAAAGTATTTCAAGTCGGGGCCATTAACGACAGCATGGTTCTAAAGGTGGGAATTGGCAAAAATGTAGTGTAATGTGTAATAGTATCGTGATATTTGCGCCACAATTCAATATTATTGCGATACAGCAAGTATTTTGATTTGATTCTGCGATATATTGCGATTCATGTACCTTGTATTATTCAAAGGCATTACTAAAAGGAAAATAAGACTCAACTCAAATATCACATCATTATGGTCTGCACATTAACTGAAGTGCAAAAACGTCTTTCAACATTCAGGACACGCAGGACCTTATTACAGACAAGACATTGTTACTCTCTGAAAAGACGACCTCTCACATGAACGGTGAGCTCCCAGCACATCACTTACATTATTCAGATACAACAGACTGGAGTGACAACAAGCAGACATCATAGAGGAACAAAAATCTCAGATGGAAATGACGAGGATAACATTGAAACAGGTAATAATTAAAAGATGCAGTGAATGATTAATCCAGCAATTTTTAAAAACACAGTGATGAAAACGTCCCTAAACCCCAAAAGTGGTCAAATTATCATGTGTTTTCAAATAGGAATGGACACGACCAGATGCCTGTAGCCTCAAAATCATAAATACTTTGGCGCGGACCGATAGAATTAAACCAATGGGATGCGTTCCTCCTCCCTTTCCTGCTTTTCCTCAGCTCGCGCACCTGTGTTGTATTGAGTTGGATTTTCTAAAACACTTAAAATGGCTGAACAGAAATTGCCAATTTCCCATTCGCCTGTTGTGGCAAAACAAAGAAAATCAGATGAGTATAAGAAGACCCGGGACGGAGCCGGGGGCCAAAACTCGAGTCAACAACGGGATAACTGTGTCGGTGCTACTGCTAAGCTAACCTGACTCCTTTACTGCACCTTTAATTGAATATTGCGATACTTTTCTATGATGTATTGATTAAATTGCGTAAACAAAATATCACGATACTGAACAAACAAGATTTTTCCGCCCACCACTTCCTGCTTCCGTCCCGCGGCCCGTGCTGAATGAGCCCCGGAGCCAACATGGACTCGAGCCCTCGTCCCGGCAAGGTTTTTCAGTTTTAGTTTTTTTCACCATTTGCCACGTATTTAAATAGGATTTCCAAAGCCAGAACACCCAATTATCGTTGTTGTGTGGTGCCGCAATTTTAGGCCTGGTTTTGATTCATTGCCAATTAACTGCTACATTACAGGTCGTCATTACAGCGCGCCGCAAATGGGAAAGCGGCAAAAAACTGCAAACACCGACCCAAAATGAAAACAATATTGGCATAAATATGAGATGGATGTGAGTTAGAAGAGAGCGAGGCTGGAGAGGGACAAGCGCAACACACTTTTGTAACAACCGGTGCCAGTTTTCAGAAGCAGTCAAGTAAAGTGTTCCCAGTGGCCGGTGCTGTAGAAGTAGTGAGTGTTAAATGGGACAATTAGTCGTAATGATAAATAAACTGTGTAAAGATTTATGGTTTTTAAAGACATGACACAAAAGACAAGCGAGCAATGGGGGGAGGAAAGCTGTCAGATTGATGGCGCTGAATTGAAATGGCAGTTTTAGTGTTCGCAATTAGCAAACGACAAAGATAGCAATTACTGAAGTACTTTGCAAAAAATATACCTGAAGATATAAAGATCAAAACTGCTTGAATTAGGATTTTTTTTTTATTTATTTTGGCTCGTATGTTTCTGTCTTTTGAAAAATCTAATCTCTCATGCACTTTCTAACTGATTTTACAAATTTTTTGCTGTCCAAAAATTCCAATTACTCAAAAACTCTGAATAATCAATCCACTCATATTCCAAATCATATTGTGAAATTTAATTATCATCACAATGCCTGTCAGATAAATGGAAACTGTGGTCTAAAAGCAGGACTGAAACCAGGTCTAAAACTAGTTTGGTATCGGGTCTTCAAACCAGGTGTACCAGGACCAAACCAGGTCTCAGGTTTCGGGGGTTTGGTGAATCCTGACTCTCTCCAGAAAAGCTGATCCCACAGCTATGGTTCATCTGAGATACTGAGATGCAGCTTTTAGTTACAGAAAATATATGTTTGTATCAACAGTCTCTGACAAATCTATCAACAGCGATTTTCCTCAATCCATGAAACATCAGAAAGACGCAGCATTGACAGTGTTTCTGGACTTCATTGGTTTTTTGCATCACAAAGACCAGAGACAGAGGAGACACATACTCTATATCTTTTCACTTTTTAACATGTTGGCACCTTTCCTGTATTTTGCACCTTTCCTGTCTTTTGCACCTTTCCTGTCTTTTGCACATTTCCTGTCTTTTGCACATTTCCTGTCTTTTGCACACCCTGAGTGATCCTATTGATACCATGTAC